TCGGGATTCGTGGTAAGAACAAGAGCCAAAGGTAATTTTGAATTAAATGTGGGTCTGTTAGCTTAAATAGGATACGAGTGGTAGCGAAGGTGTAAGTACTTGCTTACAAGATCCATGTCAAGAGTCCCACAATGAGGACTGCAGCCGACACAGTCGCGGAGGAGGAACTTCCAGTGCAGTTTCCGCTATCCTTGCCACTGGACGACGCGGCCGAGGGGCTGACCTTGTCGCAAAACGTACTCAGGTAGCTAACGATGCATTTGCATTTGACTTCACTGGTGCACACACCGTTCGAAGAGCAGGCAGTGGGAGAGCTATCGTGCAAGGAGCATTAGGGGCCGGTAGTTTCCTCGGAACAGACGCATAGGCTGGTCCTGGGGTCGCAGGAATTCCTTGACCACAGCTGCCAAAACTCTCGGAAATATTCGACGTTGCTTCCAAGTAATTGTCGTCAGTGCGGTACACTTGGTTGCACACGCACTGGTACGTGGAAGCAAGGGAGCCCGCAGGGGCACATGTGCCGCGTGATTATTTTCTTGTTCTTTTTGGTTCCAGGAATTTGATTGCGTGTAATTGAGCAGTGTGGTGACATGCAAGTAAAAGAACGATGTCTCATCCATGTTGTAGATGTTGCCGGCTTCATAGCCACTGGTGACATTCTGGATTTCACGCCCTCCGATATCGACGTCGGCTTGGGGGGTTTATCCTGCTTCGCCATGTTCAATTTTGCTGGTAAGTACGTGCTTTTGCTGGAACCGGTATAACCAACCCTTCGAATAGGACGGGATATCGGAGTTGGGCACGTCAAGCTGGGCGGCGTAGTTGGATGCTTGCTTGCGGATGAGCTCACTGGTAATGCAAACTTCCAATTCTTCACATCGTAGTACCCACTTAAGTACCATATTCTCCACTTCGGGTAGTTTTACGCGGCGCTCATGTGATATAGCATTGCTGTGGGCTCGAACACTCGTTGTTTGGTAGTGCTTAAAAGTGTTTCAGATGGTTGATTTGGACGGCTTCGTCGAGGCCCAAACGTTGTGGCTGCCCATATAGCCAAGTCAGAATAGGAAGCGCCAGGGTCGTTGAAGTGTCTCGAATATAGTTCATGCTTGTCCACCATGGACATCCTCGTTTTCGCCTTGGACTTCATGTTCAAGGTTGTCTTATGCTTGTGACTCAAAGTAATACTAGTATATGGAGTTGACTATGAACACGAAATATGGGAGCTCATTCGTATGCTTGTGACTCAAAGTAATACTAGTATATGGAGTTGACTATGAACACGAAATATGGGAGCTCATTCAAAAATTTGAAAAAAACCTTTCGACATTAAATAAATATAAAAATATAAAATTTATCGAATGTTCCCCGTTTCGATTACCAGTATGTTACTACTCCACGTATTTGATGCAAGAGAACATAATTTCGTCCAATCATAGTCCATGGATGATTGCGATTGGGTATTTGCTGGCAGAGAATTAGTACATGAATCACCTTACACTTTATGACAAACTGGATTGCACCCCGAAATATATTGAGTACGTCGCTTGAAATATACTGCAAACTTCTTGGTTGCAGGCGAAATATAACGAATATACAACGAACGAAGTGGAACCGCCGCGAATTGCTTGTTCATTTCGCGAAAAAGTATGGTGAGGTCCTCAAATTAACCGAAAAAAGGTGTAACAAATGTTACACGTATTTGATGCAAGAATACGAAATTTCGTCCAATCATAGTCCATCGATGATTGTGATTGGGTATTTGCTGGCCGGAAATTACATGAATCACCTTACACTTTATGACAAACTCTACTGTACACGATGTGAACCAAATCCTCTATCTATGGATAATTCAACCCTCAGATCAGATATTAATTATTAAAACTAATTGATGAGTACGGTGAAAATTGATCATCATTCCTCTTTTCTTTATAGGATATCTTCCACAAAGTTAAGACAAACAGCCGCCTGAATTCATATTCAGATTGCTCTAGGAATTG